TTTTTTAAGAATAAAGCTGGGATAGAAGAAAGTATATCAAATTCCCCCAAAAAATCACACTCTTCACCTTTAAGAAGAAAACAGTATTGTAAAAAAGAACTCTCCCTTGCTTGTACGCCTGCACACAGTATTACGGTAATGACAGCAAAAGAAAGACTTCCTCTGGACATTATCTGATGAGGAAAATTTGCTGTACCTTGCGACCTAAAGAGGAAACTGAAAATTGAATGGTATTTGAAACAAAATAAGCCATTGTCTAGGCCACGGACCTTGCTCGCACCATCACGAAATATGTATATTCACAACAATTTGTCTTCAATTATGATTATGATACAGTACAAAATATGAAATTGGTCTCTTTGTACAGCACTGCTTTGTCATTGGGCTTCCGTGCAGCGGTTATGCAACTGATCCAGCATAATATATCTGAAAGAGGGACACTCTCTCTGTATAAATGGCTTTTCTGCCCAACAGTTGTCACGAATCTTGTAAATGTGATCCAATTTTGTGTGTCTCTGTGAATTTTAAGTTATCTATGTGTCAGCTCACTCTCTTTTCCATTTATTTATTGTATGGAAATCAGTTGGGACTAAAAGGCTCATTATATCATGTGACAGATGTACCATCATATCTTATCATATCTATAATATACATACAGTCTAAGCAAGGTATGCAGTTTTGGGGAAGCAAATCGTGATCATTAAAAACTGACCAGTCCAAATCTAAGGAAATCACTCTCCATTTATGCTGCAAAAACGAATAGCATTATGCGTATTATATTTTTGCATCAGGTAATGGTTCAAATATGGATGTGAACAACTATTTGGACATATCATAACTTGTATTGTCTTAGCTGGCTATCAGTTCGTTAACATCAGTATATGTATTTTTTAGAAATAACAACAGGACAAAATGACTTGGGAACAGCATTGCCAATGCAATATTGATTTTTTTCATGTTAAGTCTGGCCAGGTTTCATTTATTCTTCAATTTATTTATGTATGCGTGCAATGTGTTCCCAACCCCTCAACAGAATTTTAACTATATCAGTGAATATACTGTATGTGACATCTCATTTGCTGAGAGTGAATGGATCATGATCGTGCATCTGGAAGTTTGTGCACAGTGTGTGTTCACAATGCACAGAGTCAAACCGTTATATGGGTGAGTGCTCTGCATGTCAGAACACATTGTTCTTTGTATATCTGCTTTGAAAGTAAACATCTGTGTGTATGGACGTGAAGTTGGGATGCATTATGCTATTGTGCACGTGTGTGTGTGTGTGTGTGTGTGT